AACATCTCTTTCAGCACTTCCAGACTAAGGATCTGGGCAGATTGAAGTATTTTCTAGGTATTGAGGTCGCTCAGTCTAGCTCAGGTATTGTTATTTCACAGCGGAAGTATGCCTTAGACATTCTTGAGGAGACTGGAATGATGGGTTGCAGACCTATTGACTCTCCTATGGATCCGAATGCTAAGCTTCTGCCTGGACAGGGGGAGCCTCTTAGAGACCCTACGAGATATAGGAGGTTGGTTGGCAAATTGAATTACCTCACAGTGACTACACCTGACATTTCTTTTTCGGTGAGTGTTGTAAGTCAGTTTATGAATTCTCCCAGTGATAGTCACTGGGATACAGTTCGCATTCTTCGGTATATAAAGTCAGCTTCAGGCAAAGGACTACCATTTGAGGATCGAGGCCACGAGCAGATTGTTGGGTACACAGATGCTGATTGGGCAGGATTACCTTTTGATAAACGTTCTACGTCAGGATATTGTGTTCTAGTAGGAGGTAATTTGGTCTCGTGGAAGAGCAAGAAACAAAATGTAGTTGCTCGATCTAGCGCCAAAGACGAATATCGAGCCATGGCTATGGCGACGTGTGAGTTAGTTTGGGTCAAGCAGTTGCTCAAGGAGCTTAAAGTTCGGAGAAATCAGCAAGATAGAACTAGTGTGTGATAACCAAGCTGCTTTTCATATTGCGTCAAATCCGGTGTTCCATGAGAGGACTAAACACATTGAGATCGACTGTCACTTTGTCAGAGAAAAAATACTTTCAGGAGATATTGTTACAAAGTTTGTAAAGTCGAATGATCAACTGGCAGATATTTTCACTAAGTTTCTTACTGGTTCTCGTATTAGTTACATGTGTAACAAGCTCGATACATATGATGTGTATGCACCGGCTTGAGGGGGAGTGTTAGTTTACATATATGTATAGTGTAGTCTAGTCCCACATTGGAAGAGGAGTAATATCTCCTTGTAGTGTATAGCTATAAATAGGGACCTCTTGTATTGTACTTATCATCCACTATCAATAACATATTTTCTCCCGTACCTTCTCACAGTTTCCAACAGCACCAAAATTCAACCACACCATCTAAACAGCTAGTTGAAAATAATCGAGCAACAAATTGAGTTCAACAACCCAATAATCAACAAGACCCAATTGAATTTTCAAGCTTTTTTCGATACCACAACAATGGTGGATTCTAGATTTTTTCACCAAACCTTCAATACTACTGTTAAAGCTTTTAAATCTATCACAAATAAATGGTTTTCACAATATTTGGACAATAAACCAACAAAAACCGCTCAATTTTAGATCTAAAATTTATGTTCTTTCAAAAATTCTATTTGGGAAAGAAGATGAAGGGGAGGGTAGTATGAGGAAGAAGACCAGAGGGAGGGGGAGGGGTTCCTTCGGGAAGGGGAGACCAAAAATGGGATTTTTTACGGGCTTCATGCGCTTTTTTTTGTGTAAACACGCAAGTGCTATCTGGTCAAAAGTAGTGTGTCTTAGACACACTTTTGAAAAGTTGAGTGTGTAAAAGGTGTCCCGTGAAGTAGAGGTGTGTAACAGGAATTTCGCTGCAAGGTTGATGAGTAAACTATGTATTTTGCCATTCTTATACGGTGAATAATAACATCAGAATTGTTATACAACAACGACAACAAAAAACCCAGTGTAATCCCACCAGTGGAGTCTTGGGAGGGTAGAGTTTATGCGGACCTTACCCTTACCTTGTGAGGGTAGAGAGCCTATTTCCGATAGACTCTCGGCTAGAATTATTATACAGTGAAAAATAACATGCGAACAGTTAAACTAAGTTGTTCAGACACGGGTGTTGGTGTCCGACACGGGTGCAAATCTAGATGTCGGATCCTTCGAGATGTAAATCTTAAGATTCGGGGATGCGGATCCTAGTACGGATAAGGGTGCAGGGACCCAGTTAAAAATAATTCAAAAAATAAAAATATCTCTAAATTATGAGAAATTTTGTGGAATACTTACATATAGCTTGTAAAGTGTGGATTTCTTTTTTATTCTCAAGTTGTATATAAGTAAAGGATTGATTTCCTAGATAAGATATGATATTTCCTTCAAATTTACTCTAGTTTTGGTTCTGATTTCGGGTCAAATTGTATCTTATCTTAAATTTTTCCGTACGTCGTGGTCAAAGTACCCAAAATTGTTTGACCAAATCCGGTACAGATCCCATACCCACACCCATACTTAGTGTCGTGTCGACACGGGTGCAGCACCTAAATTGTTGTGTCGGAGCAACTAAGCAGTTAAACACTGAATAGTAATACATGAACTGTTATGTAGAGGAGAGGCACTGATGCTCCGGTGAGGAGGTGTGAGAGGCTGGCGTTGGAGGGCCAACGGAGAGGTAGAGGCAGGCTGAAGAAGTATTGGGGTGAGGTGATTAGACGAGATATGGCGTTGCTCCAGCTGACTGAGGACATGAGCATAGATAGGAAGGTGTAGAAGTTAAGAATAAAGGTTTAGGTAGCCGAATGTTGTCCTTGTTTGTCACAGTAGCTTTGATACATCTCTTAGCTTCTTTTATCCCTAGATTGTTGTTATTTCTTATTGCTGCCTTGTTTCGGTTTCTGTTTGCATTACTTAGTGTTAGTTTTGTATTTTCGCTTTGATTGTCAGATTGATTTGCTTGATGTTGCTCCTTCCCCTTTTCCTCCCTGAGCCGAGGGTCTATCGGAAACAGCTTCTCTGCCTTTTAAAGGCAGGGGTAAGGTCTGCGTGCACTCTACCCTCCCCAGACCATACTTGTGCGACTACACTGGGTTTGTTGTTGTTGTTGTTGAACTGTTATGTAGAGATCGTCTACTTTAAGCATATTTTTGTCCTTAAATATCCTTATCCAAGTATTGCTAATAAACATTCTTATTTGAGATTTTACCCTAAAAATAAGTCACTTTTCCCTGAAAAGCCCAAGCGTTGCAGTAGTTATGCAGAGGCTTATAGGAAACTCAACATTGTATTAGTTCCGCAGCGAAAACATTAGTACAACAAATTTTTAGGCAACCAAATGTTGTATAAGTTATGCTGGATTCTATACCGAGATTATTTTACTACACCTTAGAAAAAACAACCATGTCTAAACATTAATTGATTATATAGTGCTCAGCTTGCTTTGGCCAGTATGGATCTGAAAAAGGGCATATAAAGTAATATTTTATGCCAAAACATTTGGTGTAGCAGAGTACTCTTGTTTTCGTTTGCACCTAAGTGTAGCATATTGGTCAATGAAGTGGGTACAAACCTTGGAGATCAAGGTTTAAATCCCAAATCCCAGCAGAGACAAAAAATACTATGTAATTTGTTCCCTTTGTCTAATCTTTGGTGGACAGAGTTACTAGGTACGCATACTGGTGTCTGGTGAAATAGTCAATGTATGCAAAGGCTGGCCCAGACACCATGGTTATAAAAAAACCATGGTGGTGTCGCTGAATGGGCTTCCCTTTCCTTCTATCTGGCTCAAGAGTAAGGGTAACTTATAGACACTGCCAAAAAGAATACCCTTGCTCAAGTTGAACAATGAGTTACCCTTTCTAAGGAGTACAATTATGCCCCAAAAAAACAAAAGAGAAGAGGGGGGGGGGAGGGGGGGGTCACAAATAAATTCACTAGAGCTACTTACTATTTGGGTGGAACATTCTGGAAATAAATCGCACAGTTGGTGGTTTGTTTGGATAATCCTCTGAGAATTGAAGTGTCAGCTTAAATGTGCCTGTGAAGGAAAAATGTCGCCAGGATAATTAGATTCAGGTGGAATAAATAACATATTATAAAGCAAATAAACCACATGTGCCCCTCCATTTTCTCTGAGGGGAATAGCAGATGAAAAACAGAGCAAAAGATAATGCTGAGAAAAAACAAGGAGAACTAAAAACAGGGGTAATGCACCACTAGACACTAGAAGCCCAGAAAACCCTCTTCACTTTGAAGATGGAGCATCCAGCATTAAAACCAAAGCATAGTGCATTCAAAGAGTCATTGAAATGCAAGTATGCAATACTAAATCAGCAGTTGATCAGATCAACAAAGATGCTCATCTCTTTATTGTACTTGAAGAATGCAGAATTGACAAAACTAAAACAGAAAATGATGCCCTCTCATAGGACAATATATATACCTGAGTTTTGCTAACCTACTACATCCCCATTTTTTAATTCTCACAAATACCCTTACTACTTTCTTCCAACACATTTAAAATAGGGACATTTTCATCTTTTTTCATTTTCTATTATTTTTTTCCCTCACTCTCTTATCAAAGTCTCACGGAAGAAAGAGGAACAAAAAGAGTCTCACAGAAGAAAGAAAGACTATAAGACTGAAGTTTTTTTTCATCTACTAAGGCTGAAGTTGAATAATGGAGAAAACAAATAACTCAATTTCATTTCTTGTTTAGGTGTTCATAGAGCAATTAGCGGCACCATTTTGACCATTTCTTAACATAGTACAAATAATTTTACAAGGAAGAGGATTGGTAACGTTTGATGATTTGACACTGGTATATGAACGGAAAATGAAGTTGGTTCTACGTCCAACCATGATTTCCGGCGAAGCGCTTGTTCCTATGAGAGATAGCCAGGACGTAAAGACTCCGCTCTACTGGGTTGTTGGAATATTTCAGTGAAATCTCCATCCTGTTTCTATAAGATTTGAACGGGGATTTGGTCAATTAATCCCACTTTCAGAATACCCAAATCAACAGGACCACTTCTTCCTCAGATCCCTCACTCTCTCTCTCCATGTTCTCTTTATAGTTTCAGTCCTCCACAAATTAAACCAAACTGACAGCTCAATGTTTCAGTCCTTTTAACTTGTCTCTGTTTAACTTTCATTTCTATTTAAAAATCTGTTCAAAGTAATTCAATTTGGCAGAAGAGAGGGATTATTTGAATCACCATTGACGGGGGAGAGAAGATAAGAAAAGAGGGGAATGTTTGGGATTAAATTTCGGATAAAAAGACAAAAAAACACTCATAGTAATGTGTTGTTGTTGTGCTAGTAAGGGCATTTAAGAGAGCAAAAATTAACCCTATATATATATATATATATAGAGAGAGAGAGAGAGAGACTCCATGAATATGCTACCATTCATAGAGCATTCAAAGAGTCCTTGAAATGCAAGTATGCAAGACTAAATCAGCAGTTGATCAGATCAACAAAGATGCTCATCTCTTTATTGTTCAATAAGAATGCAGAATTGACAAAACTAAAACAGAAAATGATGCCCTCTCACATACATATATATATGCATATATATATATATATGTATACACACACACACACTCCATGACTATACTACCATTCATATTTTACAGGGGAAAGAATACATAGGATAACAACTGCCTCACCTCCATCCCAGGGAGTATCATCAGGACTGCATTTCAAGGATAAAACAAAAGAGAGAGAAAATGTATAAGCATAACAAAACTGCTGTGGGAAGAAACAGATATTTCAAAGTAAAAACAGCTATGAGTCACGACTGTCAATCAATTTAATTGTCATACCCGAAAATGACTGCATTCCATAGCATTATATTGTTGTCATACGGAGCTCCACTGATGCCGGCCGGGGGATCCTGCTGTAACCGCTTAAAATCCCTCACCAGTCTCTTCCTCGCCGGTGTCGACATCCTCACCGCCTTATCAAAAAATTATACCTCAATAACTTGCTAAAGACTAAAGTAGACACAAAATCTTAATCTTCTAGTTTCTGGACCATAAAAGCGGCTAAATTCAACATGGAAGTTAAATTAGTCAATGGAAAATATTAAATTTCCAGCTTCCTAGACCCCAAAAAAAACTATATTCGCCATGGAAATTAAATTGCTGTTACAAATTCTACCTCAATAGCTTGCTAAAGTCAACACAAAATCCTGAATTTCCAGCTTTCTAGACCAAAAGAGCAACTAAATTGTCCATGGAGATTAAACTAGATGATACAAAATCTTAATGTTCCAGTTTAGTAGACCAAAAAGCAACTAAATTCGCCATAGAAATTAAATTAGTCGACAGAGAATCTTAAATTTACATATCACTTGATTTACCATTGAAACTAAACTAATCAATACAATAACATAACCTTCCAGTTTACAAGACCAAAAGCAAAAAGATTTTCCATAGAAATTAAACTAGTCAATACACAATCTTCATTTCCCAGTTTTCTAAACCCAAGAAAGCGACTAAATTCTCCATGTAAATCAAAATTTCAGAAAACCAAAGCTGTAAAATCAGCTGAAATCAGAAAAAGAAAGAAATAAACCTAGATGGCTAGATCCATACTAGTGTTTTAAAAGTTGTGGGCATGAGGCGAGCGTTAACATGAAGCAAGGTGTAAGCCCTTAGACGCTAACACGAAGCAAGGCGTAAGCCCTGAGGCGCAGGGCGTAAGCCTTATGGATCTTTAATTTTGAATGTTTTATAAATTAACAAAATAAACATATAAGTGACAAAAAGTAAAAATCAGATTAAAATTGTAGAAAATTCAAGAAAATCATAAAATAAGTTGGAAAATGTTTATATTTATATAAACATGCTAACATGTGCACAACTATTACCAAAAAAAAATTACTTGAATAAGTGAAAGACATAAGATGTATTACACCCTAAGTTGCCCGGACTCGGGTGCGTGTGTCCAATACCGGTGCGGATCCAGAGGTTGGATACTTCTTAATCTAAATTTTAAGATTCGGGGATACGGATCAAGGTACAGATACGGGTGCAAGGATTCGGCTAAAAGTAATTCAAATATTTAAAAATAGAGTTACAAAAATATGTCTAAATTATGAGACATTATGTGAAAAACCAACAAGGTCTTTGAGAAGGTGAAAATATTGATCAACATACAAATTTCTATATACAAGATATTCCATTTGCTTCAATTTTACCCTAACTTTTGTTTTTATTTCAGAAATCATTGTATATGTCCCGAATTTTTCGGTCGATTTTGGTCAAAATACCCAAAATTGGTTGACCAACTCTGGTATGGATCCCACACCCATACGCACATTGTGTCAACACGGGTGCGGCAGCGAAAGTGAAGAGTCCGAGCAACTTAGATTACACCTATAAAAAGACTATGATGGAACATATTTGAGTTGTAAAAATGATATTCTACTTCCTAATAATTCAAAATATAAAAATGACAATAGTATAAAGTTATTGTTTGAAAACCTAAAACTAAAAAAACAAATCATAAATACTCATTATAACATGAATAGAATATTCTTTGGAATAGAGTCTCGAGGATAGTATCTAAACTTGAATACCACAACAAATTCTAAAACCAAAACTAACTTGAAATAAAGAGAGAAAAAAGAAAAACTTGATAAAATGAAGCATAAAGAAGTTGCAAGCATGGAAGGAGAGCAAGCATTGGAAGACAAAGCTCTTGCTTTATAGTTCGCACTTCGCAGACATTGCCAAAGAGGATTTGCTACTCAATAAACGACAAAGAGAAAAGATTAGGAAAGTAGGGTATAAACTTAGAAAAGGCCTTTGAATTTTGACTTTTTTTTCAGTTTGAGAATTTATGATGAGTTAACTTTTGAGTATTTAAGTATTAAAAATGAATTTATTAAGCAACTTTGACTCCAATTTGGAAAAGTTCCCTGGGCGCCCAGAAAGTTGGGACTTACGCCTAAGCGAAGTCCCAAAAGATTGGGAATTACGCCCCATGATAAGCCTCAAAATACCTTTTAAAACATTGGTCCATACACAAAAGTACAAGCTTAAAGCACAATAAGGTATTGCTTAAATATTAAACCCTAGAATTCAGCATCAATTAGCAACCAACACAACAATAACTTGCTAAAATTCGATGCAAAATCTCACTTTTCAGTAATCTAGACCAAAAACTAAACTAAATTCATCATGAAATGAAATTCAAGGCAAACAAAATCAACAGAGACCCTAGATCGATAAAGAAAAATCAACTTCAAAGTATAAAACCCTAGAAATCAGCTGGAGCAAGAAGGCATATCAAACAATGAGATGAATGGGAATTGAAGCCAAATAGGTATCGCCTAAATATAAAACCCTAGAATCCAGTATTGATTAGCAACTAATACTTCAATTACTGGCTATGTCGACACAAATCACAATTTTCAGTAGTCCAGACCAAAAACGAGACTAAATTAGTCATGAAATTAATTTTTAAGTCACCAGAGGCTACAAAATCAACAAAAACCCTAGATCCATAACAAAAATTCAAAGCAAAAAATCAAAAACAGGAATTTCACGAGTAAAACCAAAGAATTCAGCTCGTGTAAATAGGCACAAAAAATTACATGAATGAATTGAGAAGACAAAAATACAAAACATACATAAGAAATACGGAATTGTTCACCTACGAGCAAAAAGCGGCGAGAATTGAATGATAAGCGTCGACGGGAGGTTAAATGATAGGCGTCGGCCTTCTGTTCGTCGCCGGCTTAAAAGGCAATGGAGATTTTGCGTTGGCGTGATATATAAGCTGCTGAAATGCATTGTATAATTGTATACGTCATATATGCAATGCACACGGAGATGCTTATCATTTAGATTTTTTTTTTAAATAATTTCAGGTAAGTCCCCTCAATTTTGCTTCATAATCCTAATTTCCCTTATAGTATATGATACTAGCTTAACCAACAAAAAAAATGATACTAGCTTATCTTTCTTATTTTAATTTCTGCGTAACAATTCTTTTATCCTATCTATATTAATGTGAAATGATTATAATTAGAATAATTTATATTCATAGAGCACTTTTTTGGTTTAATTAATTTTATAACTAGTTTTGGTTTTCTAAAATCCAATAAATACAACAAATCGTTTTTATGTTTAGATCTGAACAATTAGTTAATGGCAGTGTTGGGATACGTATCAAACAAATCCAAAATTTTAAAAGAAAAACTTGGATCGAAATATGACTTTTTCACTTTATACTCTTTACTTGTTTCTATTTTCAGTTACGTGGTTTTCACTTTATTATATATTTCTATTATCTAGAAAAGGCAAAGATGGTCTACCAAGGGCAGACTTATCATTATACCTGCCAACATCTTTGCTTTTTTAGTAGAAAAGACATCATGGTCGACCAAGGGTACCTTTGTCATTTACTTCTGTCATAAAATCTATTAAGGCACCTATTCTCACTCCATGGTCATTTTTATTTTTTTCATAAATCTAGAAGTATCAGTTTTTTCATCCAAGCAACAGACACGTCATGAATTCAAGAAACATCGATTCTTTCATCTGTTTTCTTCTGGCTTTCGAGGACAGCTCTTTGAGCTCTCTTCATCTTCTCAGCAACTGAGTGTTGCAATTTCAGGTCATTTCTCTCTCAATTTTCATTAATTTTTTCCCGGTTCTCTTCTAATTTTTTTAACTTCATGTTTGTTGTTGGTTATTATTCTTCTTTTTCATCCTTAATCTGCTTTCGTTTTGTTTTTTCAATTTCCATATATGATTTTCGCTCAACATTTTCTATCTATAGATGGAAGGAAAGATTGGAACTTTGAGTTGAAAAAATACACGAAAGATATTAAAGAAGAAGTGTTTGTTATAGGTAAAATGTAGGAGTGTCTTTGGAAGTAGACAATGATAAAAAAATATATATTATGGTAGTAATTTCATTTGCATTAAGATATTTTTCTGAATTTTGAAAATATCTCTTCAAATTCAGTTAAAGGAATAGACTATTGATATTCGTTTCTAGATAGAATAGCTGTATTTTTTTCAATTTGATTTGACTCTTTGGACCAGAAATTGGAACTCTTGAACAGTAAAAATGATGGTCTTTTTTGCTATGGGTTTGAAAGATAATTTTCCGGATTCCCATGTGTTGGAAATTAGAAATATAAACTGATATAAACAATAAAGATGTTAAGATCACCTTAGGCTTGTTTTCCTTTTATATTTTCATTGAATTTTGTTTCTGTTATAAGAAAAATCAAATTATGGTGGATGTCCACTCTTCCTCCATGATCTTTTTCTATGCTTAATGACATATTCAATGACATATTTTTCTTCACTTTTCATGCCTATATAGAGGCCTTGTAAAAGATAGGAAAATACACACAATTGAAGAAGAAGATCTCTTCCTTCTCTCTATCTCCATTTCTTGTTCATGTTTTACTAAATTACTTTTATTTCATAACAACATGTCTTGTTCATGTTTTACTAAGTTGCTTTTATTTTATAACACGTTATCAGCACGAATTGCTCATTTCATAATCTTCTAAGTCAAGACTATGTAAGTTATAAGCAGGCAATGAGATCAAGTATAATGAAAAATGTCTTGGATGATAATACAAAGATAAGTTTTACATCCATCTAAACCCATTCATATTTTCATATCTTTGCATTAACTTTATGTGCAGTGTTTAGTAAAAATATTTTTTTCAATTGTATCCAGTGAAATAAAGAACTGGAAAGGTATGTCTTTATTTGCTACATCTCTTATAGGACAAAGATAATATTCTAACGTATATATATGTTCTGACCTTTTACATACTATGATAGATAATTATTAAGGTAATTTAGTAATAATATTTTTACCATCACATGATGTATTTCATTGAAAGCAAAATTATCAAATATGTAGGCGATTTTACAGTACCTTGCAAATTTGGCATTCGAATATACAATCAATATAAACTCAATATAGTTATAATTTATAATAGTCACAGTTATGCATTAAGCCTTAAATATTTTTGCTGGAAACATAAGGCTCATTCCTCCGTATTGGATTTTTTTGGTGAAGTTCTTATAGTCTTTGAAATATAAGTGGTTATAGGTTATCTGCACCTTTCCCCTAATTAATTTATTAAAATGTAAAAGTGATTGTATCATTTGAAAACAAAATGGCATATATCCTAACTAGCATTTTTGTTGCAGAGGAACTGTTTCAAGATTGAAATAGTTATATATGTCTTCTTGAAAGTTAATTTACTTATGCCTATAATTATGAAGTAATAATATTTTAAAGGCTCGAGTGCGAGTCCTAATGAATTTTGGCCCATTATACCAAAGTTTGAGGGTAAGACAATGGGTTCATGTCCCAACACACTATGTTGATGAAACGATATTGGATTCAAGTTCCAACGCATTATAGCCTAGCATGCCTTTATATGGGTAAGACATTGGGTTTGAGTCCTAATGCACCATATTGATAATAATAATAATAATAATAACTAAAGAAAAAATAATGTAATTTTCATGAAAAAGCATGAAGCTAGTCCCACTTGATTTGCTCCATTATTGTAGTGAATATGATAGCAGTGCATGATAAGTCTAAATAAAGACAAGTAGTTGACCAATGAATGTGGGCGTGCGAAAGGCCAAAATAATAATAGTTATCACTATGGTAATTATAAAAAGGGAGAAATTCTTTGAAGAGAATGTGACTTGTGATAAACATTGAGATTGCATACTCATTCCTGAAAGTGAATGTGAAAATATATATATGATAAAGATTATGCATAATAATGTACTTGTGCATAGTTGGATAAATACTACAACTCACCTCTAAGGGAGGTTTGAGACAAAGAAAGATAATGAATATTATTGTGTAGTTACATAAATATATCATTGGTCGCATGCATATGATACGCCAAAATATATTTTGTCATACTTTATGAAAGTTATTAAAAGCAAAATTAAAGCAAAAAAAAAAATTATTTTGCTTGTGATGATTTTGAACATTACAATTATTATGATATGATTCTCTTTGTGAAGGAGACATTTATTATATGGATGGTGTGACAAAAAATCTTGTAGTACAAAAATAGTTAAGAGTTCTGAAAGAACTAATTTGTTTCTACCCGGATGAATAAAATTGTTCATAACATTAATATTGTAGTAAGTCTCAAAAGAAATATTTTGATTTACAAATATATTAGCCAAAGTGGTTGGCATATTGAGACTATAAATGAAAAGAAGATTGAATATCTTTATATTACTATAATCATACCGGGTAAATATTAAAGGTTACCTGACTTTTCTTTTATTTGTACTACACAAGTATAAGCATGATGATGCAATCACAAGCCACAAGTAAACTAGAGGTTTACTGAAATAAATATTAGTTGGCATGACCGGTTGACCATCTCGGTTCAATTATGATGCGAAAAAATTAATTGAGAATTACATTGGCATATATTGAAGAAATATAAGATTCTTCAAGAATTCTCTTGTGCTGCTTATTCTCATGATATACCAGTTAA